ACTTACAATACAAAGATTGTAAAACATAATGGCAATTGTTAGTTCTTTGCAATGAAAAAGAACGTGAGACTATCACTAAAAGAAAGCAAGGACACTAGCTTTCTTCCTTATCCATCAATCACTTATGTATTCACACTATGAAATATGAAAGGAAAATTCACATCTCTAGTTCGCCATACATGGCTATGGCTAATACACATGCATACGAGTAATAGTATAGGAATAGAAAGTCTGAGTTTCCATGATAAAACTTTTGTAAAGGCTGAATTATAATCACAAAATCACAGTTCATGCTACATAAAATGGGTGGTTTATACCTGGTAGGATGAGGATACTTGTGAGTTTGGATTAGCTAACTGAAAATAATTCTAAAAATTAAATATCTTTATCTACTGTAAATAAAGAAATGTTTTATTAATTCAATGTTGGAGTAATCTGAAAGTTTTAAAACACAGCAAGTGAATTGATGGAGCAGCAGATGAAGACACATGTCTCATATTCATGGTAACTACGTGTTTATCTTTCTCCCAGTTGTTGTATTGTAAGCATGACAGGAAGCTGATGTGGTGGTATAATGGAATAATTCCTGAGGGATCTTTCTAAGAAAAGTAGAGTTTGGCAGCTGTTTGTAAATGGAGCCTGTATTCCTTCCTTTTCTTTACAGTTTGTCTCAAAGAACTGTAAATTAAGACTTCTTACAAAGGGAAAGACTTCATAAGTTTTATAAGTCTCACTTTGTGAAGAGGAAATATGCTAATAGAGTTATAAATTCTTTGAGAGTCGAAATTATGTTTGAACTTTTGGTATCTCCCAGCACAGTTCTGAGTTTGTAGTAACCATTCAATAAATATTTATTGAATAGGACTGGATTATTTGTACCGATGTCAGCTGGTGAAATGAGTCCAAGTCTCTGAACTTTGTACAGAGGCTGGGTTTGGATAAACTTTAAGAGGAAAGTCTTCTGGGGGTTTTTCTGAGGGTTCCGATTTGGGCAGTGTTTTAATCGATAGTACGGTATACAAACGCAACTGTGGGTGCAGGATAGAAGCTTATGTCATGGGAGGGAAATGATGTGATTTGAGTTTTCTTAGGGTCTTTTGCTGTTGCCAGTAGGTTCTTGCTTCAGTGGTTCTCTCAGTTTAAGGGGCTTCGCTGAGTAGCGCTACAGAAATAGTTGGCTGAAAGCTGGGTTGTTTTAGCAGCGACTAGGAGAGATGAGCAAAGCATCCGCTCCTTTCTCCACCCCTCAGTTCAAACAAGATCTGACTGTGTTCAGTCTTTATCCTCCTCTGTTTGGCCATGTGCTTCAGAGAAGAGCTGCTCCAGGCACAGGGAACGCATCCTGACTGTTTTAAACCAGTCACAGCAGACCCACACTCCTTGCACAATAATTGGCGCATCCATGAGAATGTGATGGGATTCTAGCTAATTAATTGTGAAGAATAACCTGCTGCAAAACTTCTGGGAGAGGTTTCCTTCATCCTAAGAGAGATCCATAGGAGGAATAGTTTCTTCCTCCTGTAGAGGAACTAGTAATTGTATGCAATGCCTGGATTTGCACAGCCATCCTGTGATCATGAGAGGAGGTGGCCCAAGGACATTAGCTGACACATTGTGTATATCAGAAAAGTAAGGTAGAAAAATAACTGATTCCTTGAAGTCATTGCTCAGTGGATGAGCTGCTATTTTGGGCTATATTGTTATGTGAAATAACATATTTAGTTATATCCTTATTGTTGTGGCACTTGAAGTTGAATTTCCTATTTGCATAGGGTTGCCAGAAATAGAAAATAAAACCATAGGATGTGCAGTTCAACTTGAATTTCAGATAAACAATAAATAATTTTTTAGTATATGGATGCCCAATGTGATATTTGTCCCATGCAATATTTGGGGCATCCTTGTAATACCAAAAAAATTGTTGGCTGTTTATCTGAAATTCAAATCTAACTGGGAATTCTATATTTTATTTACCAACCTTAAGCTTGTATTTGAGAGAAATCTACCTAATTTGATGATAAAGGGCTTTTCTCAGGTCCTGTTGGGCATACTCTTTCAGAAATAAAAGGTGAAGTAGATTTACCAGACATAGTTTGAGTATACATATTTGAAATTCAGCTTCCTATTCTCAAGAACTAATAAAAAATGCCTAGAATATTTTTCCTCTTGAGGCTCATCAATGAATCCCCACCCAGCTGTGAAATATCATTGTAAGGCAGATTAACAGTGGAAAGAGTCAGACAAATCTTAGAATCTCAGTTGCTTTACTTACCACCAGTATGGCCCTGGAGGAATGAACTGTCTGAGTCTCAGTAACACGCTGTGTAGTTATGAGGAACTAATAACATACATTATGAGAAGCTCCTATTATGTCAGGCGCACGTGACTTGCTCAAAATATAGTAGATCTCTTTCCTGTGTTGACTGTGAAGAACTGTCTTAAGTGTATTGTAGGGGTATTATGCTAAGAAGCAAAAGAAACTCATTCCTCCTACCAAACACCTATGCAGCTCCTTCTCTCTGCACAACTTAAGCAGAATGAGTGGAATAAGATATGGACAAATGAGTTGGTTTGCGGTTTGAGGAACATGTATTACCTTGTTGCATAGCCAGCTGGAGTTTACTCCTGACTCTGGGAGCGACACATGAGATTTCTTGTAAACAGTGGCTGTTACTATTTTCTAAACTGAAAAGATTAGTTTTGCCTTTTCTCCAAGTGACATGGTAGGTGCCACACACTCAAAAGGTACTTAACGAAGCATCTATGGCCATAGAATTGGGTTCCTATTTCATGGGCAATAAATAGACCATACAATCTTCTTAATGTGTTATTCTACACTCAAACTGTCATGTCCATTTTGGGATTTTTCTATCTTACCTTGGTGCACAAAACAGTTATTCTCACAGAGAAAAATATAGAGCCCATAGAATGACAGCTGTGATGTCAAGTCTTGCCAGGCTTCTGTAATCCTGGAGAAGAGAAGAATTGGAGAGGGAGGGAAGAGCAGCTGCCCTCAAGGAGTTGAAGCGCCATGAGATGGGAGAAGGATCGTTCATGCTGTGGACTCCAAAAGGCAGGACTCGAGTTGAAGGTAGAAGTTAAAGCGAAGCAGGGTCAGGTGTAAGCAGCACAACTGTCTAGAACTGCAATGCCTCAAATACGGCGAGGGCTCCTCCACTGAAATGCCGATTCACAGGCTCTGGTGACCATTTATCAGGACCGTGACAGCAGTAACTGCAGCTCTGCTTTTGTCTTAACTTGTAAAATGGGGATATTAATCCCAATTTTTCACCTCACAGATGAGGAATTTGACCCAGCGAAACCTGAAGAGACTCGTTTTCTCGTTTTCAGGCGTCTCTCAAGTGCTGGTTGCAGAGGTTTGCAAACTGTGCTGCAGATTAGAATTACTTTGCAAACTTTGAAAAGTCTGGATGTCCAGACCATATCTGTAGATTCCAACTTAATTGGTGGGGTACTGCCTGAGCATTAGGGTTTTTTCAAAACTCCCGCAGTGATTCTAATATATAACAATTTTGAGAATCACTGAACTAGAATACTAGTTAGAGAGCATGATTCTGGATTTTAGTTCAGAATCTGATTTAACTAGATATGTAACTTTGAGCAACTCCTTTAACTTCTCTAGGTTCCATATTCCTTATTTACTAAAAGGAAGGAGGGTGTACATGCTTCTAAAGCAGGTTCCTCTAAAATTTTATTATTCTAGGGTCCTTAAAGGTTTATGATTAAAAGACAGGTAACTGCGTTCTAGAAGTAGAAGAGGATCTCTGTTCAGAGATATGGGATTTATTTGCACCATTTTTGTCAGTTTTAATGGCAGTCATAGACGCAGCTCCATGTGGGGGGATGTTTCCATAACTCAGAGGAACGTCGGGCACCAATGGCAATCTGATGGCTGGTTGCTTTGGCAATCCTCTGCCTAGAACCGGTGTCATTTGAGCAGAAACTGATTGAAGATAAAACTGGGTTTCTTTGCGCTTCTCCATGTTCCAGAAGATACTTTGTTGCCAGAGATAGAGTCATCTGATGGATGACCGAACATTTTTCCTGGTATTTTGTGTGGATGGCAACCCTTGCGCTCTTTCGGGCTTGCTGCCTTATGTATGGCTTAGAGACTTACCAAGAATTTTTCTACCCTAATCCAGAACACTCAGGTTCTTTTTCGGTCTTCATTTTACTTCTACCCACATGAGTGTGTGTGTCTCATTGTCACTCTGGTCATGCAGCAACTGACCCTAGACAGGTGATGATGGACACAGGACTCCCAATTTTCTTTTTCCCTCAAAGGAAATTTAAGGAGAACTCCCATTATTAGATTTTCTCAAAGATGTTGCTTGTATTTCAGGTAATTCATATTTTTTAGTGAAGTTTTATCTGCCATACAAGGCACACAAAAGTAATCATAGAAATGTGGACTGTCATGAGGCATAAAACATCAAAATTTCATATGGAAAAAATGAATGAGTGATTTTTAAGTGTAAAATTTTACTTCCAAGGGAAGGTACTTTTGGAAGGATAGTCTCCTATTATTACTTTAATACTTCTAGTTTCAAAAAAAAAATCAAAACTCATTAATATGTACACAGTTCAAGATAAATCACTCAGCTAAAACACAAACTAATTCTATTAGGAGAAAATTTTGGAAACTCTGGGTTGCTTGTAAAAGAGTTAAAAATGTTCTTCCTATTCTGGATGTCAGATCTGGACACGTTTACTCTGGTGTTTACCTAAATGCTATTAGTGCACTATGGAAAGTGGGTAACAACTGTTCTTTTAAAAATCAGGGAGGGCAACAAAGCAATAAGAAGGTTCACAGGGCACTATGTTAGCGACAAATCACAGGAGGTGGCTCCAGAAAGGTTGTGAAAACTGGTTTCTCATTGCAGGAATTGGGTTGGGCCACTCCTTCGCCCCCCTTCTCAAACACAAATATTTTCATATAATAAAAGCCTGTTTCCCCATGGCTATAACCCAGCCTCCCCTCCTTCGACACCACCATTTTACAGGGGTTTACTGCGCGGACTTTTCCAAAGTTCCTAGGCTTCATGCCTTTCGGGACCTTGTAGAGGTGAGGCGTCCCTTTGGGGATTCACGCCGGGTGAGGGGACAAGAAACACCCGTTAGGCTCCAACCCGGCAGCCAGCGGCCGGAGCATGCGCTGAGAGTTTGTGCAGCTGGCCCTGGCTGCTGCCGCTGCCTCGTCCGGACTTGGCGAGGACTTGGGAGGGACAGCGGCGCTGGGAGGTGGCTTAGCAGAGACTTTCCAGCAACTGCTGCCCAGGACTCTTTTTTTATTTTTTCTTTTTCCCAGGAGGCGGCGACGGCGGCGGCGGGGGGGGGGAGGAAGAGAAGGAAGCGTCTCCAGTTTGAGTCTATGCAGCCCTTCGGCTCTCAGGGAGGAACGTCCCTGCCCCGATGAGCCCCCGCCGTGCGTCGCCGACTGTCCCCCGGCGGGATTGGGGCGCGGAGCCCAGCGCCGACGGTGAGTGGCCGCGCGTCTGTCGCCTTTCCTGCCCGCTGTCCCGCCAGCCCGCCGGCGGCTGCCCTGGGCGCTGTGTGCTGAGCTGCTCCGAGGCTGGCTTCGGAGCTGCCGCCGCCGGCGCTTCCCCCCGCGCCCTGCCGGGGGCGCGCGGCGCGGCGCGGCGGCGGGGCCGGTGACCGCGCTCGGCTTTGTGCTCCTCGGGCAGCGCGGAGCGCGAGGTCGCGGCGGCGGCCGGGGCCGGGGGAGGGGGACGCGAATGACTAACCCGGCGTCTGCACAGCTGCACCGGCCCTAATTCCCCTGCGCCCCTCCCCACCCCCCCGCCCCAGGCTAATCCATCATTCCGGGGCCGAAACATCATTTCTCACGTTCTCCCAAAGAAACCCTAGTCGCCGGGCGGAATCCCAGCTCAGCGCTGCGCCCCCTCCAGTGCCCCGCGCTCAACCCGAGCTGCGGGATGGGGTTGGGGTTGCGGAGTTGGGGGGCCCGGGAACTGTCCTAATGGGAGCGACACTCGCATCCTCGGACTCGCCGGCGGCGCCTGTGACGTCCGGGGTGGGGGGCTGGTAGTGGGGTTTCTAACCTTCGGGACAGTTCCGAGCAGAGCTGTCCCCAAGGAGAAGCGTGGACTGAGGGAGGTTTAAAGAGCGTCTCATCAGAATGCAGAGGACACCGCCGCGTGTCCCCTGAGAACCGGAGTTTACTGTGCGCCTTCATTCATCAGGGGAGTCAATCTTTTCTCTTCCCAGCAGGTGTTATCCGAAGCCGGTTTGGAACTTCTGGGAGTTTAGGTTACTATTATAACCTTAACAAATGATTTCGATGAAGCGATGTCTCGAATGAACTCGGCTTTGGACCAGACTCTGGATCCAGCTGAGAGCTGGCACTGGAGGGATGGGCTGGGGGTGGGGAGCGCGGTCATAAGTCCCCTTCTGTCCCCTGCCCCTTGTAGATCGCTGCTGCTTTGCCCTTGGGGGTAGGATGTGGTAAAAGGATGGAGCTTCTCCCTCCCGGGGCTCACAATGGCCAGAGAAGATTCTGTGAAGTGCCTGCGCTGCCTGCTCTACGCGCTCAATCTGCTCTTTTGGGTAAGTCAAACAGTTGCACTGCACCAACAGGTGGGGACGGCTGGCCTCGGTTTGCTAGGGCCGCCACATAATACGCCAAAGGGCATGGCTAAGCATTAATTAATTACGTAGGATCACACCCTCTATTTTTCAGAGAAGTAAATTTTGACCTTAAAATGTCTTTGATCTAGCTCAAGTTCCATTTGTAATTAGAAAAAAGAAATCCACCCCTGGATACTAGTGGCAGTAAAATTAGACTTGAAGTTAATCTAGGGATATAAATAAATGCACGTGCTGGTGCTTGTAGATAAGAAAATTATGACATACTAGTCAGGGAACTGCTTGTTTTGAGGAATTTCAGATAACCATGTGAGCCATAAATTGTTTCCTTACATCATCCTAGTCTATAAAACCTGGTAGGGGCAAGCAGTCTTATTATGTTTTTGTAGGAATTCATACCCAGATAGCCTATCAAAAGACTGGGTAGATTTTTCCAGGAGATTCCATACAGTCTAAAAAGGTGGTTTTCATGTAAGTATTTCTAAGTTGGCAAGGTTTTAAGGAATTTTGTGTATGCTTTTGGAAAATCCCATAACCATTTAAGGAAATAAAATACATAAAATTTAACAAGCTCATGGAAATCTTTATGCCCTATGAGCTAGTGACTTTTTATGCTTTGCACTCAGGCATAAATTTTCATTAAGTGTTATTAATAATCACGTTATTCTTTATGAAACTTATGAGGAAAATGTAAAAATTAAAATTTTGAATGTCGCTTCAGGAAGCTGTCATGCTTAAGCCGACAATTTTGTTTTGCAATTTTGTGTTCTAATAATTTACATTTAAAATATTCTGTTAGAAATTTCAATGCATAATAAATTTATTTGGCTGACTGGCTGGCATTGCCTAGGCTTTTTCACAGCTCTTTTTCATTACATACGGTCTCTGGAGGATGATATTTTGGTTGAGTTACTCCTTATGGATGCCTCCATTTTAAGGTGACAGATTAAGCTTTACTTCAGTGAGCAATCTGAAAGATATTGAAATTGGCAACATTTTTTTCTCAAGATGAAAATTAAAGCATTGAGTAGTTCAGTTCACCACTTGGAAATGTGAAATCACTAATTGGTCTTATTGCCGTTTTTAATTCTAAAAATGAACATTTTTAAGTGGCTCATTAAATTACCTGCTTAGCTAGAAAGTATTAAGATTTCAGACTTGGTTTCTTTAAAATGTGTAATAATTATCACTCCTATTTACTTAGGTTTCACTTTTCTACTTCATGTTTTAAAATTGTAGAATCATAACATTTTTATAACTGAAAGGGGATTTAAAGATGACTTGGTTGAACTTCCCTTACTTTGTGGAGGAGAAAACTAAGTGTAGGTTAGTGACTTGCCAGAGGTCAAATAGCCCAATGATGACAGTGCCAGGAGCAGAACTCAAGCTTTGTCACCTCTAAATAGTGCCTTTACATGGATGATTACTGAGTTTTGAACCTTGGAATTACTAGGATTTTTTGTTGTTCAACAGACAATAATGCTTTGGAGAATGTCTTAATAATCTGTATTATGTGTGGGGGGGGAATCCAAATATTTTAACAAAAATATTGCTCTTTCGAGTAATGAAATTTGCTTAAGAACACCTATTCCTCAAACTCTTTCAGGGCTCTTTGTGTCCCCAAAGAATGTAAAGTGTTCTTTCTTTGTTGTCACCCTGTACTTCAACTTACTTTCTGTGTGTGTGTTCTCATTTGTTTGTATATTGAGATTGCTTCTCCGTCTCTCCAGCCCTCCTCTTTTCCCAGTATCGCATCCCCTCCAACAGAATAATCCATGTTAGCTGTCTAAGTAGCATCCCTCTGTATTTTTATTTCGTACAAAGATCTATTTACCCATACCTGTGCGTGTATACCCATTTGTGTGCGTTCATATGTACACTCACAATATTTTTTGTTAAATTGTTTTTGTCACTGGGTTAGAGTCACAGGAGTGGGATTGCTGTGTCAGAGAGTATGTAACAAGGACAACAAGAAAACAGCTAACATTTATAGAGTTCTTCTTATGTTTGCCAGGCACATGTAGTGCCCCAGTTTCCTAGTCTGTAAAATCAGAGTGATAGCTCCTGTTTTTTAGAGTTGTTGTGAGGATTAGATGTCTGTAAAGCGCTTGAACAGTGGCACTTAAGAAGTGCTGTCTAGGGGCCCGCCCCGTGGCCAAGTGGTTAGGTTCCTGCGCTTCGCTTCAGTGACCCAGGGTTTTGCCAGTTCAGATCCTGGGTGTGGACATGGCACCGCTCATCAGGCCATGCTGAGGTGGCGTCCCACATAGCACAGCCAGAGGCACTCACAACTAGAATATACAACTATGTACTGGAGGGCTTTGGGGAGAAGAAGGAAAAAAAAGAAGATTGGGAACAGATGTTAGCTCAGGTGCTAATCTTTAAAAAAAAGAAATGCTGTGTATGGAGTAGTAGTAGAAGCAATAGTAGCACATAGTAGTACTTGCAGCTGTTACTACTAGTACTACAATAATTACGCTCATGTAGATTACCAGGAGGTGGATTGCTGAATCAAAGGAATCCTTATAGTAGTAATTGTTTTTGTGATTAATACTGCTCCTACCACTGCCACTGCTACGTTTCTTTGACCCAGCAATCCTGTCCTGGGAATTTGTCCTCTAGAAATAAAAGCACCAGTACACCCCCATCACCTGTACACAAATATTTGCTGCCATGTTGTTGGCGTTATGGCACTTTTTAACTTTTGCCAGTCTGAAGGGTTTAAAGCATTATGTCACTGTTACTTTACTTTTTACTTCCTCCACTACCATTGGACATGAGCGTCACTTTACATATTTTCATATATATCATTTCTTTGCATAGTTCATATTCATTAAATATTTCATATTTACCATTTAGGTTTGCCCTCTTGTCTGTTGATTTTATTTATCAGTTGCTATGTAATAAACACATTTTTATATGTTGTTTTTAATAGAATTTTTCTCTAGAATTTTATATATTATTTTACATTCTTCTGTTCTTTTAATGTACCTACCTTTCTTGTCTTGGTTAAGGTTTCTTTTTCTGTATGGACTTTAACATTATTTTATACAATTACAGATATCCATCGGGATTTTTGTTGGATTTGTATGAAATGTACATGCTAACTTTGGGAAAATTGATGTTGTTTTTTCAGTGTTAAAGCAATGTTTGCAGATCCTATATTTCCTTGTGAGTCAGAAGCAGTTTTCAGCCTTGTGCTAGGCGCATGCCTGGGCATTCTTACACTACTCTCTCATCTCATTCTCCTAAGAGCCCTGGAAAATAGCGCTTGTTTTTTAGGTAAAGAGAAGTTACTCAGAGAAGTTCAGTAACTTGCTAGCAAGGACTAGAACAGGGATTCAAAGTCTAATTTTTTTCCTCCAGGTATGGTGGAAGTTGTACTACTGGAAAGGGTGGTGAATTTATTTGTGGAGAAGTAAACATCCTCAGTAGAAAGGGATTAGCTGTTCACCTGCTCATTCCAAGTCCTCTGGAGCGGTGCTTTTCAAACCTCCATGTGCAAAGGAGTCACCTGGGCATCTCATTACAATGCAGGTTCTGATTCAGTATGTCTGGGGTTGGGCCTGGGCATCTGCATTTCTGAAAAGCTCCTCTGTGATGCTGCTGCTGCTGGTCGGCATGCTTCACCTTGAGGAGCAAGGCTTCAGCCCTTGGTTTTAGTTCTCGTTGAAATTAGGAGCAGAATGAACCAGTGTGGCATATGGACCTCACTTAAACCAGACTTCACATCCTTAGCGTGGAGAGGCAGATTGTTCCTGTCTCTGGTTTTGCAGGACTGAGAAACCTGCCCTCCTAATCTCTGAGATCAAGAGCTGTAGCCGTTTACTCTTCACTTGACATTTTAAAGAGAACTTTGTCCTGTCTATTTCTACCATACGGGTCCCCTCTCCTCTTCTCTGCTCCACAAGGATTTTAGGGAAAGGAAAAAAAAATCTTAATTGGGAAAGCACTGAAGACCTATGGATTTATGTTTTGCTGTTCTGGGAGTTGAAAATCAAACTGGGGGATATTTTTTTTAATTGAAAAAATACATCTTGCTTTTTTTTTTTTTTAAATGTGAGACATAGACATGTGTAAGAGGAAACAATCCACAGCACATTCAAGATCACAAATGCACTGCATTCTCTTCTTTGCTATGGGTCCAGTCACCTAGGTTTGCCATCTGAGTGGCTCGTCCATGTTGTGAAGAACCCTGATCCCCGGGAGCTGTACTGGGTTGGCAGGCAGCACTGGGCCTTCTAGGTTTGTCATGAGTGCCATGGTTGGTAATGGAACACCGTGCATGTGAGTAAACTGCCCTGAGACCTCTTCGGAGACCATGATTCACATTTGGGCCATGATGGAGTGAGGAAATGGGTTATTTTTATTTCAAATTTATCACACTTTTACTATTTAAATAGCATACTATCTAAATAAATGAAACCTTCCTCCATTTCAGACTTTTGCCTTCTTTAGACAGTAATTTTCTGCTATTGGAAGTATGGATAAATATGGTTCTTTTTGGACATTCCTGTTATTGTCGAACACTTAACATTCATCAAAATGTTTGTTTATTATTTTCTGAAAATATAATATTCTGTCTGTGTTTTAAACTCCTACTTCTCACCAACAGATAGGAGCCATTGTTTCTCACTTACCATTGCTAAAGACAGCAGCAATAGAGAGGGACTGCCCTGATTAAATATGAAAAGAAAACTATTATTAAATATTATTCAAAGAAACTTATTATTAAATATTAAACATATTATTAAATATGAAAAGAAAACCTAAAAACTGGACAGGAAATTTAGTTTGTGCTTTGGGGATATATGCAAGGTAGACAAAACAAACAGAAGGCTCAGTGTTTCTTTTTCTCTGGCCGTCTGTAGTGAACTTTAGGTGTTTGACCCAGCATACTCTAAGGAGATTCTTGACAAGTGGATATTTGCATTCACATGGCATTTATAATGTCATATTAA